AGACTGGGAAGTGGGATTGGCCTCCGTGTCATTTCCCACGATGTGGAACAATCTCTCGGAAGGAGGTAGCGAGATTAGTCTTAGGATGGCGATCTCCTCACCCTATAATCCAGACGTAGACAGGGCAGACAACATACCGAAGAATAAAAATTAGGAGGTGGGCAAAGATTCCGCCAAGGTTCAGATAAAAAAAATACCCTATTCCTGCTAGAAAGGACAAAGTGTACAACACTTACTAGCTGAGATAAATTCGCCCCTATTGGACCATTTAAAGTCGTTCAAACAGAGGTATGTCATCGTGGCACCGGACACTTTTGACATCAGTGTGGATCTCCTGGAACCGCAAAGTGTGGGGATTATGGTGGCGCCTTTATCGGATGTCTTTCCAAGTTCTCACGGTTATCATCGCCCGACTGTCATCCATTATCAACCCTTCAAATAAGACAGCCACCATTGGCTTCTATATAAGAAAAGGTGTTGGCCATAAAATCTGATTCACCAAAGGAAAATTCGTCGTCAAACTGTATTTCCGACGAAAAGCGCAATGCAAAGAGACCCCGCAAAGAGAAACTCAAAGGGAAGCTCAAAGAGAAACACAAAGAGAAACACAAAGAGAAACTACAGAAGTCAACACCAACAGAGACACATTGGGCTCCCGTCTGTTCCCAACGCTACCAGCCTTACCCATCTACCAGTTACCAGTCTCAAAAAGAAAAAGAAGCCAAGCACCGATGTCTCAACTGTGACTAAATTGACCATAGATTGTTTGCTTGTAGACAGTCCCAAGAAAACCTCACCAACATTGGCCTCTATATAAGATACCGTCATGGCTATCAAGTGTGAATCACCAAAGGAAAAGTACTCGTCAAACTACATTACCGACGAAAAGCGAAATGCAGGTTTATCGTGGTGTCTTACGCCAAAAGGGCGCGAACATGAAGACGCCCACACCCATCAACGTTTTCCGGGGAGGTGTCTTGCGCCAAAAGGTCGCGGGACGTTTACAGGGGCTACTGAACAATGGCGAAACGCTTTCTACAAGCTGAAAACAACGCATTAAAGGCCAATGTCTTGAAGGAATTTGGAAAAGCAGCCCTCGGTGTGGTGTCGGGAAAACAAAGTGTGGGCCAGAGTTTGAAGAATATGTTCCAGCGCACCATAAAACCGCGTCTCCGACAAACACTAGCCGATGGCATGTCATCCAGACCACCCAAAATCCAACGCCGACAAACAATAGCCGATGTCTTCTCTACCAGACCAACCAAAACCAAAAATTTGACAGAAAGGAAAGGAAAATCTCCGGGCGTCATTTCCCGAGCCAAACGTCCTTGCCCAGACATCTTCGATGACTTCAGCAATGCGTAACGATTCCGGTCCTTGTGATCGAGATGAACTGCAACAATTGTTCCAAGTGCCCAACACGCACACGTCCGTTGCCAGAGTGACCGAAATACGTAAATACTCCACCACAACCGACCTTAATCAGGATGGACCGATTGAATTCCTGGTGAACAAGGCCAGTAAGGAATTTATCGATTTGGCCAATAACCTGTGCCTGCGACTCAAGGTGGTGAAAGAATATGGTACTATTCTACAGGCAGACGAAGCCGTGGGTGCTCTGGATCCATTCTTCGCTTAAAGATTGGAAAAGATTCTGATACCCTGGTCACGTCTTCTCTACCCAATTACGCTTATCGAGCTTACCAAGAGAATTTACCAAGTTGTGGAGAACAAGCCAAGGCGAACCATTTAGACCGACATGTCTTGTGGCACAAGGATACAGTCGGTGAATTTGATCAGGCCTCGCCAGTCAAAGTCAATGCAGAGGCCCACGAGCCTGCCATTACCAGGTTGGTGGAGCGCTACAAACGCATCTCTCAAAGTCAGGTGGTGGAATTACAAGCGCGGTTACAAGAGAGGTACTTATTGGACGGGATCGATCTACGCCTGAGTTTGGAAAAACACACCTCTAAATCTGTCCTGCTGCATGCCGACAACAAAGGACCCTACAAGATTGATTTCATCAAAGCTAATTTGGAAATTCCGTTCGTCACCCTCTCTCCCACCACGTACACGCGGATTACCAACCAACTACAAACCACCAATGCCAAGTATCCCTTGAAACGCGTGGTCGTCAAAGATGTGGTCGCGCTGAGTAACCGCACCAGCCACGTCCTGGACAATCTGTTCATCAGCGAAGCCTTACCCCCGCGTCTATTTGTGGGATTGGTCCCCCCCCCCCCCAAGCCAACTTATGTTCATCACCACCGCGATTGGGACGACAACTCTATCATCAAGTCACATACGCTCACACCAGGTCCCGAACCCAGAACTACAATCTCGAGGTAGCTGGTCAGCTATAGTTTGAAGCCGCGACAACCCCTCCCACATCCCAGATTACTCACACCTTAATTTGGAAGGGGATACACCACCAACCCCCCCCCCCCCCCCGACTAAAGGTTTCCCGAAGAGTGGAAGAGGACGTTGAATCCCCAGCTAGAAAATGGCGTGAGGATCGACTGAGCGGGGGTTAGAAGTCCGACATGATCGCACCACTTGCCCTTGGGTAAATTAGGCAACGATCATGCAGTTCCTACATGAAATAAATAATCTTGGATCAGACCTGGGCTTCTAGATAAGAGGAAATGTCGATCTCTCCTAGCCAATCTCTGTAATCTCGATATATATACTAAACAGCAAAACAAACGTCAGAACGATTTCAAATCAGAGAGGCACTTTAATCAAATCATTCTAGAAAACGACTTACTAAAGCAATTTATTGTGAACAGTATGTCGACACATTAGTGATTAATTCATCACAATTCCAAGACATTACAAGAAGGTTTAGAGTCTGTACACAGTCTATACATCAGCATCTGGTGTCTCCACGGCAATAACGGCAGCGCCTGTGCATTGAGTGGACCAGACGATTGATGAACGCCATTAGTCTGGCGCAATCCATTAGCTGTGTTTGGTCGCGGTACGACTTTATTAAGTCTCCTCTGAATTTCATGCCAAAGATGTACAATCGGGTTTAAGTCCGGACTAAGGGCTGGCCAGTGCATAACGTTGACACCGTTCTGCTGTAGAAAGTCCCAATAACCTCCGCTGTGTGGGCACGGGCCTTGTCATGCTGGAAAAGTTGTATCGATGACGTGCGAATTGTGGTATGACGTGGGGTCTGAGAGCTTGATTTTTGTAGCGCACTGCTGTGATGCCGCCTCCTCTCCCTGGACCAAGATTTTGGAACACCACAGGACCCACTCTCTGGTTCAGGCCGATTCCACCCCAAACCTTTATGCTTGTACCTCCCCATGAGTCTCGTTCCATGACACATTGGTCAGAATAACGCGGGCCACGTCGACGCCATATTCTGGTCCTGCTATCTGCAGTTGATACGCAATACCGACCCTCATCTGTGAACAGAACAGTTCTCCGTTGCCTGTGTCGCCAGTTCTGGTGTTGTTGGGCAAACTGAAGACGTTCAAGTCAATAGCGAGGGTAGAGGATCGGTCCACGGTAAGGTCTACGGCAATGGATGTTCTCTCTGGTGAGACGTCGGCGCACTGTATCGGTACTGATGGGTCTTCTGGGTGTTCCCACTGGCTGACGTGGTGTCTCAGATGCCCGTTTAATGGGGTTTTGCACGTGCTGTCGCACAACAAGGCGGTCTTGTCGCCTTGTGGTAACCCTTGGTCTACCACGTCGAGGGCGACCATCCGTGGTGGTGGTGGCCCGAAAGCGTTGCTGAAGCCTGTAGATGGTCTAACATTGACCTGGAAATGATTGGCAACGGCTTGGGCAGTGTGACAAGCGTCAAGTCTTCCATACGCCTGGTTCCTCTGAGCTGTTGTGAATCGTGGCATGTAGCTGACGTTGTAGTGTGAATGATTCAACCAGCTATGGGAGTGAATTTTATAGGGCTGGTCCCGGTGAACAACACGTGCAGCATGATTTAAATGAAAATCATGGAGAACACATATCTCAGAAGTCAGTTTGCGTTTTTGAGAACATTTCCTTGGTTCAATTCTGTGTTTGGGGAGGAGACTTATTGGTCAGGTAAAGTTGGAGATGTGGTCACAAATATACAATAAAAACAATTGGCAAGTTTTATCCAATGCGTCTATTCAGAGTTAACATACCAACTTGATATTTCTTTTGTTGCTTAGTATACAATTATTGATTCGTATAACAAAGCTTGCGATATACTCCCCACTTGGAAGGGGATTGATATAATGGGAAATGAATATCTTTATTCTGCAAGTTTATCATTAAATAATGGAGAAAGTTATATTAAAGCTTAAAACATCGGTTGAGACGTGTTCGGTTCTATTATCTCGAGGGTTCAACTTAGTATCTCGAACGCTCGACTTAATTATCTTTTGCTCTTGACTTAGTATATCTCAAGCGCTCGACTTAATATCTCGAGTGCTCGAATTTGTATCTCGAGCGCTCGAGATATTATTTTTTGTGCATGTCCTAAATCTACGGAAATACCTATACGCTTCCGTATAAATTAGCCACCGTACAGTTTAAATATGTTATTTTCATTCTTATTTTAAGGTTCACAGTTACTAATCAAGGACTTGGCCATAATTTTAAGTATGACAAACATACAATTTAGATTTCCATGATGCTTTTATCATTGTTTATTATCAAATCAAATTTATCTCAATGTCCGAAACGCGTGGAAAATAATAGAAGTAGTCATAATACTCAACAAATCGCAAAACACAATTGTTCGGATCAATGATCCCATAGAAAAATGACTCACAATACTAGATCTTTGTACGATCTGAGAAATATCTTTCTCTAGGGTTAGGGTTAGGTTTATAAATTACATGTCAAACGTACACATTGAAGCTGTAACAACGGTGGATTGTGGCTAAAACTATGCTGAAGGGTGTTAGAATTGTGGGTATAAACATTCAATTTTTATGACTGGTCTATAGTAACAGGGAGGTAACTCTATTTAAGAAAAAATTTCCCGATCACGTGATAGTAGTAAACACAAAATGGCAGCCTACAAGGCAAGGTAAGTTATTTGAAGAAAATAGAAACGCCCATCAATAAGAATTATAAATAGAGACGTAATACAGTTTATATGTTGATGCATCGTTTATTTTGATCTGTTTTTTTCCAGACTAGAGCAGTTTAAAAACACGTTATCCAAAGATGAATTAGATATTAAAAAGATCAGGGAATTATCATTTCAAGGTACTCAAAACTACTTTTCCTTTATTTTTTTTACAACTTCCTTGTAGATGGTCAGTGATCTTCGTACTTTGGAACATTTGAATTTTCCCTGCAACTACTTATACATTAAATGACCATTAATTGCATTCTGTTAAAGGGAACTAAGTGATCAATTCAGTGTGCTCAGGAACTGCTGAAGACAGACAGGAGATTTTGTAGGAGAATTTAATTTTATTCTTAATTCAAATATTATTGTTGGGGTACAAATTGTTTTCCAAAATGTGTCAACAAAAAAGGTTTTCTTTGGTGCATATCATGTATGATAGTTATTCTCGAGAGAGAAAATGTTATAGAACATAGATTATTATTGCACATGTCCTAAGAGTGCACATGTAGGCCTCCCATGTCAGTTACATGTAGGCATTCCATGTCAGTACATGTAGGCCTTGGTTGTCAGTGTAGGCCTCTCTTGTCAGTTACATGTAGGCCTCACATGTCAGTTACATGTAGGCCTCACATGTAAGTTACATGTAGGCCTCACATGCCAGTTACATGTAGATCTCACATGCCAGTTACATGTAGGCCTCACATGTCAGTTACATGTAGGCTTACCTTGTCAGTGTAGGTCTTTCTTGTCAGTTACATGTAGACCCTAAAGAAAAGCACCTAGTTGTTTGGATGGTTAAAAAAACTTGGTCCCACTTTGTAGTAGTAGAGGTACATCTAACACAACCCTGGGCATGTACGAAAAAGAAGCCTTGACAGTTAGAAATTGCTTGTACAGAGCAGCATAACAAATATTTTGTATGCATTATTACATCTGAATTGAAGACACACATAAACACAGAAGTACTGCTACTTTATCTACTTTAATCCATATAATTATGTACTTTACATCAATTGTTATCGTGTTCTGTCAAATTTGAAGACAGACTACGATTCAACTTCGGCTGATTTCTTGCTTGAGTAGGAAATAATTGTATAATTGTATAATAAATAATATTTTCTGTTTTAAGGTTGCCCATTTGAAAGTGGTTATAGATCTATATGCTGGAAGGTGAGTTTTGTTTTAATTAGGACTGTGATGGCTTGATTATGTTATTTAGTAGGGCTAATGTTGATGGCGAGGTAGGACACTGGAGACTTGACCTGTATATACCAAATTCTACTTGTATGGTACATTGGGGTGGGGGGGATCTAGTGGTTTAATGTGTGAATATGGAATCATAATGCCTATCATTGAGTCAAGTGATGTGGTTTTGAATCCCTGCTTCTACGTCACAAGCAGTAGGGTCATATGTCCAGCCTCAAGTGTTTTCTCTGGGTCTTCCAGTTTCCTCCTGCTGCTAAGGATCCCTACGGACAAGCAAATTATTGAAGTCAAATTGAACCATATGTTAGACCCAAAATGACCTATATGTCGGGTGGATGTGAAACCCCATTTAAACTCCTGTTCCAGCTTGTGAGAATTAGCGTGATGTCTAGTCAGTCAGTTTCTGTGCAATCCGTTGCACAGTTTCTGTGCAATTTCCAATAATATATGGGCAACATACCAAGCGTACATTGTTTATACTGGGTGAAATATTGGACTCGCTTTACGATTTCATTGAAATGCACGTGTCTGATAGTAATGGAGTAATATCAATCTTAATGCAGTATCAATATATTACTTAATGTCTGACTCTCAATCATTAAACATACATTATGCAAGTGCTAAATCTACCAATTACAGGTCTTTCTTTAGGCCTGAAATTTTATATAAACTATTAATTAGACATTAATTAACTTATCCAGACCATAATCAACTCTAGATGGCATCGCTAGTCTGCAATATTTACTGGATTAGAACCTGGTCTGCTGCTTCTGATTAAATTAAAAAATGGATAATTATGACTATGTTTTTTATCATACCAAATTTAGTAATGATGATCGAGGCTAGGCCTAAATTTCAATCGCTAAATACTTGGTACAGGGTCGATCAATTTGACTGAAATTTTCAGCAAATTTCCATTACATTATCTAGTTTTTAACTATTATAGTGACAACTACCAGCTCTTTATCTCCCATAATGTATCTTTAAACCACTTGTATTAAAGAGAAATAGAAATACTGTTTTTTATTTTCATGTTTTTATTTTTTTTAGATATTACTAGAACATTTACCTTTAAAGCGAGACGAATGGCCGAATCATTTACAAAGACAACGGTATGTATATTAACTGACAACATAACTTGAGAATATTGGATTATCTCCCTTAGTATTCTTAGATTCTTTTCGTCGTTTTCAGTCATTAGGTCTTTCTTGTAAATCAATATATTTTTTTCCTTTTGAGTAAAGCCTGTATTATTACAGGCCCGGACCTGTACAGTGCAATGGATGCTTACGGTTGGTCCCCGAATTCATTCACTTTAAGGAGCTAAATTGCTAATATTTGGGACCTAGAAATTGACACAAATGGGGCGCAATCCATCTAATGATGTAATATGAATGTATATAAACTGATTTACATTTAATCTTTTTTGTTTTTACTGTAATTTCAAATCAATTATGTTTGGCAAAATACGCCAGAAGTGTCAATTGAATGGCAATCTCTAGCGTCTGGTTGTTCCAGTCTATACCGATAGTATTTATTGCGCATGCTCTCCAGATAACAATTTGGCCTCACTGCTTGACTTGACTTGTAGAATATGTCTAGCCTCGTTCTTATAGTCCTTTATTACAAATGGTAAAATGTTTATTTTGTCTTAGGGGGTCACGGTGGCTAAGTGGGTAAGACGCTGGCTCACTAGCCTGGAGGTCGGGTGTTCAATCCCTGCATTGGCCGAGAAAGTTAATCCAGATTTTCCGCCGTCGGATGAGACGAAAAACTGAGGTCCCGTGTACACATTAGTGTGCACGTAAAAGATCCCTTGACAGTTGGAATTCGATATAAGAGTAGGTCGTAGTGCCGCTGTCCGAGCAAAATTTCCCTCATAGCACACTGTATGGCGTATGCCCGTCTTCATTAGCCCAGTTCGGAGCAAAACAGTAGGACATTAAACCCCATTTCATTTCATTTCATTATTTTGTCTTAAATATTGGATATCAGAAGCCCATCTTTTCACGATACGATAACAACATCAATGTTGATTTAAATTGACAAATAATTCGTGTTTTGAATGTCGAAGATTTTGGATGATATTGAGTTAGAGGCTTAGCTACTTTAAATTAGTATTTGTTGTAATGTCTGTGTAGTTTATTTTGTCTGTATGTTTGTCTTATCAGTTTTGTTTTATGTGTAGGGTGGTTCGTCTGCACTTACTATAAGGTAATCTGTTAATCTTGATTATGTCTGTGCAGTGACTCCAGACGTTGGTCGTCTAAGCACAAGATCCAAAGATTGGTTAATCAAATGTCTGAAGTCATCGGGTCATAAGCCCCTCGTATGATCTCTGACGCGACCTTCCGCTACAACCCATCAGATCTTCATGTTGTGTCGACCATTCGAAAGTATAGATAAGCGAAACGAAATATAGATCTGTATTTTTATCACATTGACAAATCTTGCTATAATAGTTCCAAAATAGGTAATGAAAAAGAAATATATTGAAAATTTCAAGCAAATAACTTCATTCTGAGTGAAATTATGAATGTTTGAAGAATATCGTAGTTTTGATTTTCATTAGTATTGTTGGTACGAAATTAAACAGAGTGTTAGTTATCCAATTTTAAATTCAATTTTTAAATGACGATCATGTTCCAATCCATTCAAGATTACAACCATGTGATGGTCTAGAGAGTTGATTATTGTCGTGTGAATAATCATCTTATTTATAATTTATATAGAGAATCTACCATGAGTCTTTTTTGATATAAAAAAAGACAAGTAGGAGATTTTATTTATCACCCAATCCCTTCTTACATACACAGATAAATAAATATAATTCTTTGCTATAGATTTCACTTTTACTGAACCTGATTACATTACGGCGTAGTGGTACAATATTTTTTGACAGCAATTCAACCATTGCAAAGTCCTTTATGTTGACCCAGTGTTTCCATCAAGGCCAATTAAAAAAAATAGTTCCTTTTTAATAAGAAAGAAGTTACTTTTAATAAAAAATGAACTGTTCTTTGAAAATAAAAAAAAAGTAGTTCCTTTTTGATTGACCAATCAAATTCAATATCGCAGTAGATTATGAAATTTATCACACAAGCGATATCTACTGTAGAATGTATTATGGGTGATAAATAAGATTTGAGGCCACAAGAAAGATCTGAAATTGGCAGATTTAGCTCTACATAATGTATCTTTGATAAATAATTATATTTTATATTTTAGAGCGACATATAAACAGTTTAATAATGAGTTAATTATGTTTTTTATTTAAGAGCGACGTATAAACAGTTTATTAATGAGTTAATTATAATACCAGGTGAGAAAGCATACCTGGGAGCTCTGGCTGATGGTAAACTAGAAGATCATGTAAGTTAATTCTGACAGTTGATAAACATTGACTTAATAATAAAATTGTAGCCATTATTTCTGAGATATTAAAGGAGTGGGGGCTCGTGATGTGTTGTTGGTTGGAGGGGGTGGGGGCAGTAGCGGAAGGGGCAGCAGATAAGATATCTAATGAGTTTAAAGGCATGTTTTTGGCCTGTGATATATGTAACATCGATTGACTGTTCCGGAATTGAATTCTCTCAATACCAAAAATAGTGACAATCGAGTGAAAATGGGTACTTCGGGCTACAATGCATGTGTCGACTGGATATATAAATATCTCATCCAACCATGCAGTCGAAACCTATTCCTTGTGTTTAATTAAGTCACGATTCTACTAACAACACCTCCGTCGTCAGGACTGACAGAACTGTGACAGGACTGAATTCCACGTCACTCGATTGCAATTCTGTCAATTCAGGACGTTCCAGACTGTGAATCGAACATCCCCAATAAGTGTTCTAACAAACAAGGGAGATAAATGTAGCTTTGTTGTAATAATAGATAGGTGTAGTGTTATAACAAACATTCAGAGAATGATTAACTTTTTATTTTAGCCGTTAAACCCAAACCCTGACAGCCAGTGGAGTGTACAGTTTAAAGATAATGATATGTTAATGCAAATAGATAAAGATTGTAGGTAGGTAGATTAGTTTGAGTGTTCCTTTCATTATTACAATAAAACGAGGAATGATCAACTGTATCTGTATCTAATGGCAAGCATTCACTTGTCTGCAACATTTGGATGGCCGGTTGAAGGCAGAGAGCTGTAATATCTATGCTTATGTCCGTAGACCGCCACATGTAATAGAGGTAAATTCCAGTGATTTGACTTGATGTCATGCATAAAGTACAATATCACATATGTGATAGAACTGGTTAACACGCTCCAAATATTATTTCAACACAGAGATCATTGCTACAATAGATACTTAATGAGGATTTGATGAAATGGTAGTGACGAAAGCAAAAGGAAAACACAAGTTATCCTTCTATAAAAATAAAATAAAACCAAGTACGAACAATCCAAACCATTAGACAAAACTCAAAGTCCTAAAAAAACGGTATAGGCAAAATGGTGTAATCAGCAAATCTACTGTTCGCCGTGTTCAAAATACACGACAAACAGTGGTAACAGTTGTCTGGAAGATTAAGCTTACCCTGCCTGGCGCCACACCCGCCATAGCTGCATCCAAACCATAAGACGAAATCTCGGTAAAATAGCGTGACTGAATTGACTGAAGCAACGATTGCAGGAATTATCAGTGAGCAGAAATTCACCTGTGTATCTTTTATCGTCTTTCAACGTCTGCTTCCAGCCAGGTTGATATTATCATAGATAAGAACAGATTTAGTAATGATACCAGCTAATATGTGTACATGTCTAAGGCCATTTCGGCTGCTGAATCCGAATCCGATTAGATTTTTGATATGTGACTTAATTTAAGGTTGGTTCAGTGGCCATTTCCAAATGGCCGGCAAAAATGGACCTTTTTCGTCATTATAGTAAGGAAATATTGAAACTAGTCGTCTAATATGTGCTAATGTATGTTTTTATAGGTCGGGGATACAGAATGAGACGAACTTAGATACAAAGGAATAATGGTTATACTACAATGGTACTTTTTGTAATTTGTTTTCAGAAAAATCTGCATTTTTGCAGAATAACGCTCATAATTTGTTCATATCTGTGATGTCGGGTTATTCTATCTCAGATACCATAGCAACTTAGAACAGCTTGCCAACTTCCCAACAGGGGAAGGCAACACCCTGGACATCAACCAACCTATTCCATCTTATGGCAACACTGACCATGACATAGTCCTTCCAGACATGTACTCTACGGCTAATTAAGTGACTAAAACCCATTCGCAGAAAGCTATACCTCTGGAAACGAGCAGACATACAAAGAATCAAAGAGGATCTCACTGACCTTACCGATTCAGTTATAGTCACGGAAAACGTTGATATAACATGGGAGAACCCCAAAGGGCAGACCATCGCCAAAAGAGTCCCCTCCAGGATGACGACTTCTCAATACACAAATCTCTGGATAAACACAGGTATTAATAGAGCCATCAGACGGTAACAGAGGGCTTACAAGAAGGCCCGCCTTACTAAGAAGAATCAAGACAAGGACCTTTACAAGAAGCTACATAATTACCTTGAAACCACGATCAGCAGTGACTATAAGGAAGACTCCAAGAAATTTTGGACTTACATCAAGAGTAAAGGCCAAGAAGCCACTTGAGTAGCACCACTCAAAAACAAGAGTGACGCCCAGTAAAAAGCCAACATACTGAATCCACAGTTTGAATCAGCTTTCACTGCAGTGTTCCCACCATGGCATCCATCAAACTTGATTGGAAAGGTGTACATACATTTGAAACTTCTGATGAATTTGAAACTCCATTATGCAACTGGACCAAACACAGTCCCCTCCTTCATCATCAAAGCTGTAGTCACCACATTTTCACCTGCCCATACACAACTCTTCCAGATGTCACTCGACTCAGGCATAGTCCCCAAGGATTGGACAGAAGCCAATATTCAAGAAGGGAGACATACATCAGCCATGGAACTTGCCCACATCACCTGCAAGATACTGGAGCATATATTGCATAACAGTATAATGCAGCACTTCGACAAGAACAGCATCATGTGTGATAGTCAGTATGGTTTCAGGAAGCGTCGCTCCTATAAGACACAACTGATCTCTACCATACAGGAAATAGGCTCACCCGTAGCCAAGGGAAAACAATTGCACGTCATACTCCTGACCTCGCCAAAGCATTTGACAAGTGAGTAAGAGGCAACTCACTGAAGTGGACCGGATACTTCCTCAGCAAAAGACACCAACAAGTCCTACTCGGCTGAGCAATATCTGACATGGCTCAGGTTACACCAGAGTTCCACGGTGCACTGTGCTTGTATTGGTCCATAGCCTTCATCAACGATCTACCGGAATCCATAAAGTCATCCCATTTCAAGCTTATTGTTGATGACAGTCTCTGGTAGTGGGAAACCAGACAGTCTCCGACCTTCTCCAGAAAGATCTCACTGCATTAGAGACATAGGAAAATACAGGGCAGATGTCCTTCAATCCATCCACATTGCTCCAAAGAACAAGAGGATACTATTCAGCACGGCTTTGTCGATATACTTCACCAGAAGTACTTACGAAACGGCGACTCTCGCACCCGAGACCAACACAGATTCTACCAGGAGAGAGTATAAAACTTTCATTGAACTATTTATGGTCTGGGAAGATTCCAGTTCAGTATCAGTACAAAGAAATCTGAAATGGAATAACCCGACATCACAGATATGAACAAATTATGGACAATTATCTGAACAAAAATGCAGATTTTTCTGAAAACAAAGGACAAAAGCACGATTGCTGTATAACCATTATTCCTTTGTATCTAAGTTCGTCTTATTTGGTATCCCCGTTAAAAACATACATTTGAAGATATTAGAGGACTAGTTTCAATATTTCCTTACTTTTACGACGAAAAAGTTCCATTTTTGGCGGCCATTTTGAAAATGGCCACTGAACCAACATAAAATGACGTCACATACCAAAAATATCATAGGAGTCAGATTCTGCAGCCAAAATGGCCTTAGAAAACACTCGTCACGTGGGATATCGATAAATGTTGATGTCATTTGCCCACCCCTACCATCAGACATTTTGGAGTGGCTTTCTGAGAACCAGAATATTTATTATGTTTGTACTGTATGGCCTTTATTAAACATACATTATGCAAGAGCTAAATCTGCCTATTGCAGGTCTTTCTTTAGGCCTTAAATGTTATCTGAATTATCAATTATACATTTATTAACTTATCCAGACCATAATCAACTCTCGATGCTACCGATCCCTGCGATATTGAATTCATTTTGGGTGGAGAAAATAACCTTAAAAATGGATAATATATCAAGATGATACGGTAGTGATTACGATCAAGGCTGGTCTATAATTGAATCGCTAATATCTAGGCTCAAAGTGAAGTAATTTGACTGAAATTTTCAGCATATTCCTATTACAATATCTAGTTTTTTAACTGTCATAGCAAGAACTGTCAGCTCTTTATCTAATCTTATTTAATGCAGCTTTAAGTCAATTTCTGGAAACAACTGATGATGGAAAATCTTGGATTCTGATGTTTATATAAAGTCAGTGTTGAGATGCCCATGACTTGAAATCTGTAATAAAGTGGAGTTACTCCCCCTTCTTTTTACTTTACTATTCTTTTCCATTTACATTCACTACTTTCGTTCAATTATGTGAAATATTTTTTTATATTTACAGGAGATTATGCCCCGATTTGTCTTTCTTTCAAAGTGCCACGAAATTTCCTTGTAATGAAATAATTCATGCCAAATCGAATGTGGAGACATTACGGAAGAGAGTTGAACATACAGTATTAAAATCAGAAACTGTTGGTAGGAACAGGCTAGGTATTACAAATGTAAGTACGGGATGATAATTTCTTAATTTAGAAACAGACTAGGTTTTACAAATGTATGTATACAACACATTAAAAACATTGAAAGCAAACTTGCTCTGCATAAGCCTACATATTGTCAATTCCCTCCCCCCCCCACCCTTGAAATCCTGGTTCTCTGACCTAGTTGTCAACGGAGGCAGACAGAGTGTGCATGACAGTAAAAAGGCAGCTAAAAACGAGATCGCAATAATAATATCTTTATTTACAACCCATTTATATATGTCGAAAGCAAACCTGTTGGACATATATACATATTGTCAAATTCCCGCCCAACCCGCCCAGAAATTCTAGTTTGGCAAAGAATGTTCCTCTGGATTTTATGTTCAGTGTTGCAGGATGTAGTTCCTGACACAGAAATTTGTAAAAAAAATAAGGTCCTGTGTGCACATTGGTGTGCACGTAAAAGAACCCTCGACAAGTTGGAATTCGATGAAGATTAGGTTAAAACACTGCTGTCGGGGACAAATTGCCCTTCAGATACACAACATAGCATATGCCTGTCTTTCTTCATTAGCCCGGTTGGTAAAGAAGAGTAGGACGTTGAACCCCAAATAATTTTATTGGTCAGGTCCCACATAAATTCTTGTACACTTTTACGCTTGGAATCGTTGATGGCTCATGGCCAGGGTGACTTTCATATAGTTCGAAATTTATCTTAAAAATTTTAATTACTGCACCTGATTTTTAATATGTCATGTAGTATTTGGTTGGTATGATCAGTTTTGACACAAACCAAGTCTGTCTTCACTGGATGATGGGGGGGGGGGGTTGAGATGTCTAATGCATGCACTTTATATCATAAGGACTGTCATTGAGTCAGGTGGAGTGGTTTTGTACTCAAAGTTTGTATTTGACAAGGAGTAGGGTTACCTGCATAACCTACTCCAGTGTCCTGAAATGACCTGGTTTGTTTCCAGTGGACATTAAGTCCATCTCTCTCTCTCTCTGTCTCTCTCTCTCTCTCACTAGATAATCTTTAATTGTTTGTAGATGCAATCCACCAGACGTAGAACAAGTGATGAATATGCCTTGCTACCAGATGGACAGGAGGCTCACTGGGAAGTTGTAGAGAGAATTTTATTTATTTACGCAAAACTTAACCCTGGTCTTAACTATGTACAGGTAAGAACTGTGTCTAGTCGTGTGTATTTGTCGAAAATCGAGTATGGAATTCGAAATTTAATTAAAAGTAGGCCGTAGCGCAGCTGTCCTGGTAAAATTTTGCTCATAGCGCACTGCATGGTGTATGTCCGTTCCCATATTCACTTCTATTAGGAGCACCAGGAACAGCTTTAAACAGACTACAAATAGTGCAAAACAATGCTGCACGTCTCATAACTAGAACACAAAAATTTGATCATATATCAGCTAAGTTACAGAAACTCCATTGGCTTACAGATGGAGAGAGGGTTCAATTTAAAGCTCTTGTGAATGTGTTTAAATTAATTTATTCTGACACTGCACTCAGTTATTTAAACAAAGGCCCTGCTTGATTTGTCCATACCGGCGCATACCGGCTGACCACAGTTCGGCAGTTTCCCCGGCGAGGTGACTTGATTTAACAGGAAGTCGACAAAAGTTGTGCTGTGGCGTACGCCGAATGCGCCGCTTTGTTGGCAGCGGCAATCATGGTGAACATGTCATCGAGATAAAATTCACGTTATTTAGGAATGCCATTAAACACGATTATTAAAGTGTTAAATTTAAACCAAATGCTTTGAAGCTGAATTGGAGCTTCGTAAAACCAGGTGTTCGTATGTCATTAATTTTTTTCGGTAAAAATACTAATCATAATTTTCTGCTTATTTTGCTGTATATAGTCTTTCATGAATACTGTTTTTATTAAAACATGTCATGTAACCGATTTAATATTATAATATTATCCGACGCCAAATTTTTTATCAGCCGGGTCACTTGGTTTGCTCTGATACGGTAACCTGACCGGCGAACACCGTAGTAGAAACCGGCTCACCTATCGGCGGACAAATCAAGCAGTCCCAAACTTTTTGATTTCTATACTCCCCGGCGATCCAACCTTCATTCTTCTGGTGATCGCAGTATTTTGAGGATTCCTAAATATAATAAACGTTCTGGTGAATATGTATATATGCAATAGTGGTATATTGCATGCGCTTTAGTTCATAATTAAGTCAAGTGAATTTTCTCTGGGTTCCTACAACTGCTAAAGACCCCTATCGGAATTTTTTTTTATTGAAATAAAATTGTACCATATGTTAGTACCATCCATATGACCTGACTTGTGTCAAGTGGACTTTTGTTGAGGTCCATTATACACTATCACCGTAGCATGTCACAATCACACTGTTGTTGTTTAGGTCTATTATACACTATCACCGTAGCACATCACAATCACACTGTTCTTGTTAAGGTCCATTATACACTATCACCGTAGCAAGTCACAATCACCCTGTTGTTGCTGCCCATTATGTGGTTTTTACCGTTATTGGAGGTTCACTATTTTGCCATCAACTCTCTGCAGTGGCTCAGAGAGTTAAAACCTATTTGGCTAGCCAGGATGATTTTGAATTCACTCTCAATGTTAGCCGAGAATTCCCAGCGTGGTTCCCACTTGTCAGTGGTGCAGGATGGAGGGCTTGGCCGTGGACAACATATAGTTGTTTGTAAGGGACAGAAAAAACGAGGCCCCATGTAATGGTAAGGGTAGTTTTGTGGGCATTATAGTGTGAAGATGTTTATTTTTATATTTGACAGGGTATGAATGAGATTCTGGGTCCAATATATTATACCTTTGCTTCAGATCCAGATCCAGAATGTAAAGGTAGGTCATAAGGTGGATTTTAGATCTGTCATCTATGCATGTCATGAGTTGGATTCCATGATTTCTGACATAAATGTCAACTATTTATTGAGCCATCTGTGATTTGATGACATATTTCGACTAAAACTAAGCAGTCCTGTTGACTATCGCGACAACTGGCCGCAGGAGGATCTAATTTCAGCAGGTATTTGTCTTTAATCGCTGTTATTTTCCATAATAAACGAAGCCTAAGGAAATTCTGGGATTATCCTCTATTCACTTCTTTTGTAACATATGTTGGTCTCGTCTCGAAATAATCTATAGTTTGTGTCTAGTGGATGTAAAACCCCATTTATATGCTTGTCTATTAAACCCATTTCTCAGTAATCAATAAAATTATTAAAATTTGAACAAAAAATTAGGTGATTTAGATGATAAAACCAAGAAATGTAGCTTGGATAATTTTTTGATTTTGATACATATGAAAATATTTTAAAAATGTGTCAATTTTTGTTGCAGAATATGCAGAAGCAGATTCATTTTTTTGTTTTACCAATTTAATGGCTGAGATACGAGATCACTTTATTAAAACTTTAGATGACTCAGATTGTGGTATAGGTAAGATCGTGTAGTATTTTTATTTTTATATAAATTTCCTAAGGTTTTTACCACATAACATTTTCTATTCTAACACATTGTTTGGTTCTATTCCGTTCCAATTGTAATATTGTAAAACTAGCAGGATACCCGGCTTCGCTCAGGGTCATAACTCCGAAACCGGAAGTGGTAGACTAACGCCACCTGGCCTATGTTACTCCCCAGTCCGAGCTACCCCTATACCCCAAATTTCAGACTCGAGGCAGACCTAGTCTAGCCGCCATCCCCGAACAGACCGGCTTCGCTCGGGGGTCATAACTCTGAAACCGGAAGTGGTAGACTAACGCCACCTTGCCTATGTTACTCCCCGGTCCGAGCTACCCATATACCCCAAATTTCAGACTCGGGGCAGACCTGGCGTATGCCCGTCTTCATTAGCCCAGTCGGAGCAAAACAGTAGGATGTTAAAGCCCATTTCATTTATTCTTGGTAAGAAACATGTTTGTTTTACATTATTTTAAATTAATTTACATTTTCTTATTTTGGGATTTCAGGATATTCTATGACAAGATTAATGGAAGAGATACATATCCGAGATCCATGTTTAAGTCATCGAATGACCGAACAAGATTTAAAACCACAATATTTCGCTTTCAGATGGATCACATTAATGTTGTCTCAAGAATTTCCTCTACCAGGTGAGCCTTAAACCTTCCCCTCCCCCCCCCCCCCCAAGTATGCCTTAAACCTCTCCACACCCACCTCTCACCAGGTAAACCTCTCTAGCAAATTGTTAAAATTGTACCATATTATAGTCCCAAAATGACCTAGTTTGTGTTGGGCGTACACATAAATGTAGTTCATGTAAAAGAACCGTTGTCAGTTGAACTTTTAAGACAAATAGGCTGAATTGCCAGTCTTCTGGCAAAATTCTCCACCTCACATTACATGTGTATTGTGTAGCCATAGCAATGAAATTTAACATGTGTTAGTCTCAAAATGACTTTTAAACCCCATTCCATCGTATCTCTTCGATGTGCCTTTAAGCCTTGGATGTTTTGTTTTGGTGTGTAAAATCCATACCTCCAGTTAGCTATGTAGTTATGGGTGTTGTGTATGAAACAGGGTATGCTCACCCTTTCTATAACATCTGATACCACTTCTCATTCAAGGAATTAACTTTTGTGGTATTCTTTCAAAATTTTGTAAAACCAGATTATAAAAACTTATGTACAGGCAAAAGGACTATAATTTAAAGGATAATTTTTGTCACAAGTCCTTCTACACATTGATTTAAATGTGCGTAAATTGCAGAAAATTATAGAAATAATAGATATTTTGATGAACCAAAATATGAAACAAATACTATTTCAATATATACAGCAGACATTTGTTGAATATAATAAACACCTGATTTATTAATATTGCTAAATCAAAACATGTAAGTCAGTTAAATAACAGCACAGGCTGATGTTATAATTATCAGTGGATATGAAATGATTATGAAGTGTTGATGAAGTGCAAGACGCATCTTCATAGAAGTGTAATTTTTGGCAGCCTGCTTTTAAAGTAGGCTAATTAGCGTTTAAATTTTAGGGTTAATTGCTTTTTTTACTGAATTTGATTAAATATAGGGCTTATGATTTGGTTAAGACAAGAAATGAAATGAAATGGGATTTAACGTCCTACTATTCTCCTTCTATACTAGGCTAATGAAGACGGGCATACGCCATACAGTGTGCTATGAGGGAAATTTTGCCCAGGCAACGGCACTTTGGCCTACTCTTATAACGAATTCCAACTGCCAGGGGATCTTTTAGGTGCATTCCAATATATACACGGGACCTCGGTTTTTCGTTTCATCCAAAGGACTAGATAGCTGTCCTTGTCAGGCCCTCCGTTCTGCACCACTGACATGGGGAAACCACGCCGGAAAATCTGGATGGACTTTCTCGGCCAATGCAGGGATCGAAAGGTTAAGACAACTTAATAACGGGGCATAGAAATGGAATGATGTTTAACATTCACTTTTCTGCACTGACTGAGCTAATGAAGACGAGTATACCTCATTCAGTGCGCTGTGAAGGCTAGTAGGCCTACTGATAAGTGATACTGATAGAAGCAAGTAGGCTTAATCAACGAACTACTTATTAAATAAGCTTAGATTAAAAGAGATTCACAATGAATGATTTATTTTTAGTTCACAACAGTCGAACAAAAAACATAGAACTAACCATTATGTACATAAATTTTGCATGAAATGTCTAAATTAATTTTTGTGTATAAAATTCATATTTATGAAAATAACATTAGATTTAGATTATTTCATCCATTTACATGTAGGGTCTATCTACAGTTGCTTTTTAATAATATTATGACTTTAAAATGTATATGTATATTTTAACACTATTGACGATTATGACGTGGGATTTTATGACGTCAAACCTCTGGGTCATTTAAGAGTTAAACAGGCATTATGCAAGAGCTAAATTTGCCTATTACTGGTCTTTCTTTTTGCCTTAAATGTTATATAAATTATTAATTAGGCATTAATTAACTTACCAAGACCATAATCAACCCATGATGTCATCTGATAGTCTAGATTTCCAATAGATTTTAATATGATTTGTGGTTGATGATTTTAACGTAAAAATGAATAATCAAGACTTTGTTTATTTGTCAATGACAAACAAAGCTTCAATGTAATTGTATCGGTAATAACACGGCTCAGAGAGAAGTAATTTGACAGAAATTTTCAACATATTCCCTTTTCATTATCTATTTTTTAACTATTATAGCGAGAACTGCCAGCTCTTTATCCACTTGTAAAATTTTCCTTCTTATTTCGTCAGGAAAAAGAATTATTTAAAAACCAAATTTTTCAGTTTTGAAATTCAGAACAAAACATATTTCAAGTGGCTTTTTATTTATAAAGTCCCCAAAGAACAGAAAATCAACTTAATGTGGCCTTAGTGAAAAGTGCAGTAAAAACTATCGTGAAGTATTTTTGTGCTGTACACATTGAGATTAATTAATTAATATTTTAGTGATATAGATTTTCTGCACTCTGCGACCTTTCTTTGGGTTACTCTACTCCCCCTTTTCCGAAAACCTTGTTAAAGCGGTAGCTGCTATAGTTTTAAACGGATTTGGTGTCAAGCATTGGGGGTCATGAGAGGACAAAATCTATCGATTTTCAGCATTCTGTGACTTTTCCCTTCTCCAACATCCTTGTTAAATGGATATGTTTCAATTTTTTTGTGAGGCATAGGGGTCATGAGGGGACGACCCCTATCGAATTTGAGTGCTCTGTAACCTTTCGTTTCCGAGTTAACCCCCTATTCCGAATTTGGTGTGAAACATTGGCATCATGGAAGGATGTATCCTATTGATATTCAGCATTCAAAACCTTCAGGTCTGGAGGTACTATCATTTCTCTGAAAACCTTGATAAGGTGATTAGCGACTTCTGTTTTTAACAAAAATTTTTAAGGATTAATCCTATTGATTTTCAGAAATCAAAGATATATTATTTGTCCTTAAAAGCTTTTGAACAGATAAAGATTAGTTTTCATCCAATTTTTCTTCCAGATAATCCACTGTTGAAGCAGCTGTTGTGTGGACGTATTTCCATGATTTTCATATCTGTCTAATTTCATTTGAGACCAAATTAAAATGATTATCATGTGTTTTTGTATATTTTAGATGTGTTAAGAATATGGGATTCGTTATTTTCTGATAAAAATCGATTTGATTTCCTGATTACCGTTTGTTGTTCTATGTTAATGTAAGTATTTTAAAACTCTTCTCGTATTTGGCTTCGTTTGAAAACTAGGATTAAAATAATTAGCTTTTACTTGTAATGATTCAGATTTAGCATTTGATAAATATTCTTCATTTTACTTTTCCTGTTACTCTACATATAAATGATGTTTTTATTTTTCAGATTGTTAAGAAATGAAATTTTATCAAATGATTTTCCTTCCAACATGAAATTATTACAGGTAAGTTTCATGTATATGAGAGTAGAATCCAGGTATATGATGAACTGGATGTGAAATTATAGTCTCTGATAGTAAAGACGGATAGTATGGAAGTCGCAGGACATTCTGGTAGGAGGGGTTGTCATCGTCTATCCGGCGAGACTGTTGTCAAATTCGTCTTGTTCTATCCTACCGACACCAAATTTACAGCTGGGACTTTGTGCGCTACAATAAATTTGTCTTGTACTATCCTATCGGCACCCATTTATACCTGGGGGGATTGGAATGCGTAACATTCAGTTTTTTAAGCTACATCAGTTATGTCACCCCAACCAACAAAAAGCTCAAGTTTTCATAGAAAAAGATTAATAAGTGCATCGGGTGAGTAGGGCATCTCTGAGGTCCGCCACTGCTAAACAAGATCAGATGCGGTAACCGCAAAAGATGCTTATGTCATTTGATGTTTTTAATCCCTAGCAAACTACAATACTTTTCAAGCTACATCTCTGAGAGGAATATCACTCCAACAATGTTTCATTTTTGTTCAGTATTTACAAAGATGTGATGATTTGAAAATTTGTCAATATTCTTCAGAGGATGTAATCGGGATATGTTCACCACTATCTATAATATTTACTAAACATTTTGATGGGCCTCTTTATATTCCGATTGATTCCAAAACATCAGATTACCTAAAGTTGATATTTTAAATTTCTTTTCTTGATTAAATGTTAAATAGTCATGTATTTAGGCTTTACTTACAGTGAGGCAATTGTTTGTGTGGATATTTTGGGGCATGTGACACTACAACTTTGGTATCATGGAGTTGTGCTGTTGTAGCATGAGTTTCTATATTTAATGTTTAATTTCAATCCATTGTTGGCAAATTGTTCAAATTCGTTGAGAAACATCAAAAAATATTGAATTTCTACTGTTGTGTATTCTGTCTAGATAATATGTGTTGGGTTTACAACTATTTATTTTCCTGAGCGGTGTTGATTAATTAACAGACTAAACTTTAAATACAGAAACTCCTAAAACAGCACAACTACATGATACCCAAGTTGTAGTGTAATCAATCTTAGTTTACCCAGCATGTAATCTTAGTTTACACAGCATGTAATGTTAGTATATCAAGCTTGTAATCTTAGTTTAACCAGCATGTAATGTTAAGTTACCAAGCATGTAATATTAGTTTACCTTGCATGTAATCTTGGTTTACACAACATGTAATATTAGTTTACCATGCATGCAATCTTAGTTTACATAGCATGTAATATTAGTTTACCTTGCATGTAATCTTGGTTTACACAACATGTAATATTAGTTTACGATGCACATAATCTTAGTTTACACAGCATGTAATATTAGTTTACCATGCATGTAATCTTGGTTTACACAGCATGTAATATTAGTTTACCTGGCATGTAATCTTAGTTTACACAGCATGTAATATTAGTTTACACAGCATGTAATATTAGTTTACCCAGCATATATAAGGAATCTCTCCATTTTTTCTCCAGAATTTTCCATACACGACTGTGGAAGTTATAAAAGTCATATCAAAAGCTGTAGAAATGTTACATCGGTAGCACAGGCTGTTTATTATATACTGTTGATATACAGACAGGTAAGATATTGGATCAACTAACAATTTTTTTTATTATAACGTAGTACAACAGTTTTACTTCAGTAGTGAGGGCCAAAATGTCTCAGTAAGAGATGTCTTGGGTTAGCTCCTGGTTTTGGTCAAGAAAGTTTTGTGAAAGATTTTCCCCGTTTGTGGTACAGATCAGGTAACCAGACAGGACAGTGGCAAGTCATTCAGATGCATCTGAAAACCGAGGTCCTGTCTACACATTAGGGTGGATGTGTAAGAAATAAGAGTTGGCCATAGAGAAGCTGTTCGGACAAAACCTTCATCATAGCAAACTGTATGGCATATGCCCACCCTCATTAGCCCAGTCGGTGCAGAACAGTAGGACTTCAAACAGTTACTGACAAGCCCTCAAAGTTGTGAGATATAGTGGCTCAATGAATAAGGTTCAGGCCAGGGTATGATTTAGATATTGGCTGAGAAAGTTTCTTGAGATTATTGAATGTGGTTTCCCCTAATACGGAGAGTCTGGCAAGGAACAGCATCTTATCACTGGGATGGGGGGGGGCATTAGTTAGCATGTAAAAGAACCTTGGATGGATGGACTGTGTGTGATAACTCTATGAACTGTTATAAATGTCGATCAATTTATTTTCTTTGATTCAAAGCCGTCATGACAGTTATCCAGACTCTCACGATATTGGCGAGATTACCGAGAATTATACATGGTCTGGGCTCAATGTAAATCCACAGTTTAATGCTACATGTACATGCTCATGTACATGATATTTAACAGTGTGCATGTGCCTGTCTTCATATGGCCAAGTTGGTTATTTATTTTCCAACACCTAACAGCCCCTACCTGACCATCTCAGATTCCGATTAAACTAGGAATCAAGCTTTGATGCCCTGGAAAGGCTGATATTCGGGTTTAGAATCCCAGATTTCTTGGGTAATTGGACATGAAATGATCCTATATTATTAACATTGTTTTCTGTTTCACAAATTAATGGCTGGTTGAAGCATCTTAAAGTATTTTAAGAGCATTGGCTAAGAACTAGGAATTTAAGCCCCAATCAAAGAAAGACTATCTACTTCAACCTTCAAAAATGTTATTCTTCAGTTTTTAAGAATATAGCTCCAGGTTATCATATCTCAATTTTTGCCAATCACACTCTAACATGGACCAGGGGCGTGGTAACTCATGATTTTGCATGAGGAACAGGATCCCGCCCGGGCCCCCAAAACACACTATTTATATGTCTGTGCAAAGGGGGGGGGGGGGCTCCTAGTGCCGCTGGGCATTATTAGTCTGTGTGAAACATGGTAGGGTCGATTTGTAGCATATCTGACCCATGGTATATGTGTGACACCGTTTAAGAATTATGATTATGATTATTATTTTTTAAAAAGGGCATTCAAAACCCTGTGATATTTTGCCATTTGCGAGAGGCACAAAAACTAAGGCGGCGCAAAAACTCCAACCATGACGCAAAGCTCGTCATTGCGCCTCTCTCACCTAACCTTTGACATAGACATTGTTTTATTTTTTTCAGATATTACCACCAAAGGATTTCAAGGATGACTGGACAACCTGGTTTCCAGCAGTATCGGGTAGACGAGATTACACAGTCACAATAAAATGTTTGTTCTGAACACTATGTTTTATAGACGCTCAAATTTTATAGAGGTTTTTCTTTTGTGGATAAAGTGAAAGAGGTGTGTCAAGTCTGATTCTCACCCTTTCAATGACAAAATACAGCTCCTAGAATTACATTTATCCCAGTTAAAAATAGAACGATACAGTATTTAGTGATAGGAAGTATTCAAATAATACTACAGACAGCTTTATGGATAATAATCACAAGCAACTGTGTAGATGACAATCATAAGCAACTTTATAGGTAATAATCACAAGCAATTTTATGAATGACAATCACAAGCAACTTTATGGATGACAATCACAAGCAACTTTAATAGTGTGACAAGCACACGTTAAACAATAATATACCAAAAAAAAAACCAAGGAGTGAAAATTTAAGTATAAAATACATGTATAAATGAAACCACTGTTAAAGTTGCTAGTGGTTGTTATCCATAAAGCTGTGTTTAGTGTTTATTTTAAAAATAGACTTGTCAATTTTATTGGATTTTATGCATTATATTTATTATATCTTTGTTCAGTGTTGGGATAAGACCCCACTGTTAGGTCCTATGTCAACCCGATAAGTCAAGATATAAATTGAAATTAGTAAACAATCCAATTTTTCTTTATTTTTATGATTTAAAATAAATATTTACCTCGTCACTAATCAAAAGTACACATCGGAGCAAAGTATTAAAAACTTTTTTTGACCCAAATCTAAGAGTCTTTAGCCCATTAAAACAATAGAACAATATCTTTGAATGACATTTAATATTAGAGGTATAACATTCATAATAACATAACTTTATGGATTGAACACAACTGTATGAATTGATTACATGTTTAACACAACTATATGGATTGATTACATGTTTAACACAACTATATTGGTTGATTACATGTTTAACACAACTTTATGGATTGATTACATAGACTGTAAATATAATAGATGATAGATGAGGAAATCGTTATCAAAGGAATTGATTGTTCTTCGTATGTCCTAATTAATTTTGTTTGTTTTGATTGTATGATTTCTTTTAGAAACATTGCTTAATAAAGATACCTGTAAGAATACTGAAACGTTGTTATGAAATAAACTAACAACTAGTAAATCCATAAAGTTGTGTTATTGTAAATTTGTAAAATCAGTAGTTGAATGAAAATAACAGTGACTCTCTCTCTTTTTTTTTTTAAATAAATCGACTGACTGTGATTTGGTTTAGATTTTATCCTGTGGCATCTATTTAACTACATACAGTTTTTGTTCTGTTTATTATTCTTTTGGCCACCAAAATGAATTGGAATAAACAATCGAATAATAAATTCGAAGAGATAAATGTTGTTATAATGTTAATTAGTCTAGGGATACAACTGATGATGTGTAATACATATTGTGGACACAATTACAAATGCAACAAAACAAAATAATAATTTAAAGCACTACTATATTGTTTCTTTATTTTATTGATTTTTTTTCTTCTTTATTTTATTGTTGTTTTTTTTTTCAGTACCAATCTGATTAAAATCACGAATCATATAATGCATAAGGTCCATCTTAAAATACATATCTGTATTTAGTTTCGTTTGTTTATACCCACAATGGCCTCCGCTACATGAATATCTGATTGGTTGTACTGGGAGGTCATGTCAGAGGTCATACGATCGACTTTTGACCCTATGACGCCTGTTTTTAGATCAACCAATCACCATCAATGTTCCAAGTGGCTTTGTTTTCTATCGCTGTGAAAGACTACCCACACGATAAGAAGTCAACTCAACAGACCATGTATTTGGCAAAACCTTCACATCACGGAAAACGCAGTCTATTTAACAAATCCAGATCCTGCTGTAGTGCAGACAAGAAAACGAAATTTTAAACTATAAGAAAACGAAACAAAATAGGATCTGTATTGTAATCATGATTGGTCCAGCACATAATAAGGATAATAGCTATATCAATATTTATTAGGCCTGGGTATAAGACATATGTTACAGGCATTGACAGACACAAATTCAGGCTTTGACATACACCAAACTCGTCATGACTGTTACTTTTCCAGCACCAATTTATCATTCCTGCAAATAGTGCCAGACAATTTATCAGATAGTGCCACATTTTATCCGATAGTGTCAGACATTTTATCAGATAGTGCCACATTTTATCAGATTGAACACATTGTATCCAGGGGTGTCTATATAAGGCACGTTTATTTGTTAAACATACATTATGCACGAGTTGAATTTGCCTATTGCAGGTGCAGGTCTTAATTAACTGATCCAGGGTACAATCAACTCTCGATGGCATCAGATTTCTCTGATATTAAATAGATTAGAAAGGTTCAGCCATATTTTGATTTAATTTAAAAATGGAGGAGCGAGTCTAGCTTCAAACAACCAGTTACGGTGGTTGAAAGTTTTCCACACGTCTTGTCAAACCTTCAAAGGCTAATATCTTCGCTCGCAATAGAGTATTTGAATGAAATTTTCAAATTATTCATTTTACATTATCTATTTTCGAACTATTATAGCAAGAATGGCTAGCTCTTTATCCAAATCTTGCATAATGTATCTTTAATAGTTAATAGATAGTATCGTTTATTTGTTAATAGTTACTGTTATAGATATCATCGTTTAAAGATGTATTACCGTCAGTGTAATTAGGACGAACTAGTATCAAACCAAACTCTTTCATGTTGTCAATTATAAAATAACACATTGTAAGGTTATCACTTATAAAATAAAACATACCAATTATAAATCCAAACAGTGGAATGTTATAACTATTATCGAATGAAATAGAAACTTATCAAAATTAGTCTGTAAAAACTCAATCTACAAAATATAAAATTGTATATTTTTGACCACTGAGTATATAAAATGGATGTTTATATGTATATATATATATAAATAAATAAAGTTGTCTATTTACTTATTGTTTAATAAAGTAATGTCATTTCAAGACACTGGAAGTTGGGGGGTTGGATGGCCGAAAGGTTAACGCTTGCGCGTTTCAGCATAATGTCTGTCATTGAGTCAAGTGGCGTGGTTTCGATTTCCCGCTTGTACGTGAATCGCATGTCGAGCCTTCGTGGGTTTTTGCCGGTCCTCCAGTTTCCCTGTACTGCTAAGGACCCCAACGGGCAAGCGATTTAATGAAATAAAATTGAACGGTATGTTAGTCCCGAAATGACCTAGTTTGTGTCGAGTGGACGTTACATCCCATTTCTCCCTCTCTCGCACTGGAAGTCACTTGATGATTTACATCACATTTTATTATCCATGTCTATCTTCAGAGGTCATATGTGCACTATGTTGGGTAATATTAATAAATTCATCCTTTATATGATATTACTATTGGTTACATTTCATCTTCTTTAAATGTGGTTCCCTTGTCAGTGATGCAGGACGGAGGGGCTGACAAGGAAAGCTGTCTAGTCGTTCGGATGGGACGAAAAATCGAGGTCCCGTGTATACATTGGCGTGCACGTAAAAGATCCCTTGACAGTTGACATTCGATATAAGAGTAGGCCGTAGTGGCGCTGTCCAGGCAAAATTTCCCTCATAGCACACTGTATGGTGTATGCCCGTCTTCATTAGCCCAGTTCGGAGCAAAACAGTAGGACGTTAAACCCCATTTCATTTCATTTCATCATGGGGTCCATGATTTCATGGGGGGTGGATGGCTGAATGGTTAGCGTACGCGCGCTGTATCATAAAGTCTGTCATTGAGTCGACTGGCGTGGTTTCGAATCCCCGGTTGTACGTGGCAAGGAGTAGGGTCGCCTGTCCAACCTCGTGGGTTTTCTCCGGGTCCTCCGGTTTCCTCCCACTGCTAAAGACCCCTACGCGCAAGCGAGTTATGTAAATAAAATTAAACCATGTGTTAGTCCCGAAATGACCTAATTTGTGTCGAGTGGACGTTAAACCCCATCTCTCTCTCTCTCTCTCCATGATTTCATCTTTAAATGTAATAAGGTACGAACTTGCACCAAGGGAGCTTACTACTTTCTGTAATTTGACGTTAAATCTGTAATAAACAACAGCAACAACTGATAAAGACAGTCGAAAAACTTGAGTGGAATAGTAACAAATGACAAGAATGAATAGGCTAGAAGTCAAATGTTCAAATCAATAATGGGCCAAGCGTCAATCAGTCCCTATTAAATGTTCTTGTTGAATAAAGTTCGCTTTTTACGTTTTTTATGAGTCTGTGAGTGAAATCCGTTGGAAATGTTCATACCATGGGGTGCCAATGTGTTTAACTTCTAAATCTAAATAACTTCCGATTCATGCCCTCCTCTAACAATTTCTGCCCTTTGTGTTTGTTCAGGTACTAGTCTGGGTATAGTTTCTCTACGATTTGGAAGTTAAATTCGTTGGGTGAGTGAGATGACAGGTGACTTCTATAATTACCACACAGCCTTCGTCCGTCGTAAGTTTGGACACAAATTTTCGGCCGGTGTTTAGCCTTAGTTTTCTATCAAAAGCTCTGGAAAAGAAATGAAATGGCTGTTAGCGTCCATCTCTACACAACAACGCCGGATTAACCACGGGGCACCATGGGGCCCAGGCCCCAGGGCCCCCCGCAAAAATCACAGTTGCGCGCCTCGAGAATGGTCGGACCGAGGACGCCAACGGCCGGTGACCTAGTGACGGGGCCCCTCCGATGCTCCGAGGGCCCTCCATCGGAAGTCCCTGGGGCCACATTCCCCAACGTTGAAGCAATATTGAGAATATATCTGTGTATGATGATATCTAATTGTTCTGGGGAGAGATCTTTCTCCAAATTTAAAATTATCTCCGGTCTACGATGGGTCAGGATAGGCTAGTGTATTTGGTTCGGCTGGCCTCTGAAAGCGATATCCTGCGCACCATCAATGCCGAAGAAACCATTGCAAAATTCGCCAGGGGCAAAAAAAGAAGAGTGTTCATCCATTGATCATTATCATTCAGCTCTAACTCCGCGTAACTTGACCCCGTATCACGCGAATCATCGCTAACTCGATCAAAATTCGTTGAACGAATATTTTCTTTCGTTTTCCTTTTATAAAACATCAAATAACCCGGAAACTGTAACCCGAATTATCGCATAGCTCGAACCAAATTTCCGGTACAATCCTTATCGAAGTCTTATATTTACATCGTATAACACGAACTGTAAATAATGGATCTTGCAGCGCGTCTGCCCCTCTGAGACCGGCGACAGAACGATTAGGCCCTACTTCGCCCTCGCGGGCGAACGGGGTGGTGTGTGTCCGACCTGTGAGTTTCGGCAGGTGTCTTTCGAAGGCAGGTAAATCTGCTTGCAAACGACTAGGGTTTGTGCGTGTCGGGTTGTACTACTTGGTAGAGCGGCCTGTTGTGGCTCCGATGCGTTGAGAATTGTCCCTCGACTAGGGGATTTGTCCGCTTCAGACGGACGGAGCTCTCTCTCTGTATATTTGTTTTTCTCAGCTATTTCTTCACTTCCACTTCCACTTCGCGCGCCCCGGCCGAGGGTCTCCTGGCCAAGAGAGGAGAAGAAGAAGAAGAAGAAGAAGAAAGAGAAGAAGGGGGGGGGGGGGCAATTTTTACCCGTTTGCCCGACGGCCCGTGTCTAAACGCAATCGGTGTGGGACTTGTGCGAACGAAATGACGGACCGGGGGAAAAGAGACGGCCAAGAGTGCTCCGTCTCGAAATTTGAGAGAGATGCGGCCGAGAGGCGGTCGTGCAGGAATTCCTCAGGAAATCACGTTTCCGGCCTCCAATTTCTGAAAATTTCAAAGGGGGGAGACACCCCCCCCCCCCCGAGACCCCCCTTGCGGGGCTTCGCGTCTTCGGCGCTCGCGCTGGCCGGGTAGATGGACACAGATCACCAAATATTTCTACGCCGTCAGCCAAAGTTAGTCTTTCTCTCCTTTCCCTTTTCCCCCTTTTGCATGGCGATTTGTGTTGAGATTTTGGTGTAGAATGGAAGAAAAAGGGCTTGAAAATACATTTTCTGCCAGGTTTTGGTGAATATTCATGATTTTGAGGCGGAAGGATACAAGAGTTGCGAGGTTGGTTATGTTGAAATGTAGGGCCGAAAATTGCATATTATTTTTGTCTCTACTTCCAGCTTGTGTATCTCAAGTTTTTCATGATGAACCTCTTACTTGCTTTTAGGCAAGAGTTTCCCACATGTTGCTTCGTCTGTGGTAGAAAGCGTTCTACCCAACGAAAATTTGGGAAAAAGTTAGAGCCGGTCTAAGAGACGAGAATTAACATTAAAGTCAATGGGGAAATCTTTAGTGATCTGTGGCGAGATAATCAGGTTTAATCAGTTTATTTAAATGGGGTTGTCTCCCTTCCATTGTAATAATGTAAAATCGATCTGAACGCATATTAAAACCCGCACATAGTTCTATAAAATTAAAACTGACAGGAAATTCAAACAAAATTATCCGAACCCATAACTATAGCAAACAAAACCGATATTATCGTACCGATATCGGTATCAAAAGCCATACAGTCTGCAATGAGGGAAACTTTGTTCGGACAGCGGCATTACGCTAAACTTTTGTGTGCAGGATAATTCCAATTGTCAAGCATAGCCTACTGATACGATAACAAAACATAAACATAACACATCTTGTAATGAAATGAAATGAAATGGGGTTTAACGTCCTACTGTTCTGCTCCTAAACTAGGCTAATGAAGACGGGCATACGCCATACAGTGTGCTATGAGGGAAGTTTTGCCCGGGCAGCGGCGCTACGGCCTACTCTTATATCGAATTCCAACTGTCAAGGGATCGTTTACGTGCACGCCAATGTGTACACGGGACTTCGGTTTTTCGTCCCACCCGAACGACTAGACAGCTGTCCTTGTCAGGCCCTCCGTCCTGCATCACTGACAAGGGGAAACCACGCCGGAAAATCTGGATGAACTTTCTCGGCCAATGCAGGGATCGAACACCCGACCTCCTGGCTAGCGAGTCAGCGCCTTACCCACTTTGCCACGTGATCCCCCAACACATCTTGTGAAAATTTCAAACAATGATAACTTATTTCCTAAGTAATTCTTTTTATGATTTTTTAAATATATTCATATTTCATTATCTATTTTTGAACTAGTATAGCAAGAACTCTTTATCTTTCATAATGCATCCATAATATTTACGACTGCTACTAGGTTTTGTTTGTGTGTAATGCGATCCTCCTCCTCCTCCTCAAATAACAACTTTTGGTCTTCAAAGGAATAATCAGTGAGCAGAAATTCGCCCGTGTATCTGTTATTGTTCGTTAATTCAGTCAGTTATATAGAAGGACAACTCGTGTTTTCCTTTTGCTTTCAAATCTTCCTTTTCTTCAAATCTTCGATACGCATCTATCGCAGTTATGGCCTCTGTGTTAATGTGTTTAACCAGTTCTATCGCATATATGATAATGGCTAACAATATTGTCTGTTAAATTGTGGCTCAGGCCGGAATGAGAATAATAAGATATTTCAAAATAACAAATACATGGTCATATTCCATGTCGTCCTTTTTTATCACGATTCCGTGTTTAGTTTATATTTCGTCGATACGTTCTCTCGCGGGGGTGGGGTGGGGTGGGGGCGAATGGTTAAGGCGCACGCGTTGCATCATGAGGTCAAGGCGTGGCGTGGCGTGGCGTGGTTTCGATTCCCCGCATGTACATGTCAAGGATTACTGTCGCCTGTCCATCCTCGTGTGTTTTGTCCGAGAATTCCGGTTTCCTCCCACTGCTAAAGCTCTCTCTTTCTCTCTGAGGTTGTATTAATATTTACCTCTGCTACTTGACTCCACTCCAGAACATACAGAAACTTGTTTGATTATGATAAACTCAAGTATTATTCCAGATTCACCTGTTGTAACGATTTGTTCACGAGCGGTAAAATGCAAACAGAACGGCACGGGTAATGTCAATAGAGGAGG